GGACAGGCACAAATAGAAATACTCAAGGATAGTCAAGCTGAGTTCCATCAGAAAACATAATTCAAGCCATGAGGCAGTCTGTTAGAGGAAGAAGGAAACATCATTTGTTTTAAAGATAGAAAAATCAGTTTTGTAGAATACATGGTGTTTGGGATCCCCTTAAAAACGCATTTCTCTTATTTTTATACATAAAAATCTTGGATAAAAATATAAAGGATAAAAAATCTTCTCCCTATATAGTAGTATATATATATAACACAATTATTATATTAATTGCTTTATTCCCCTGAAGTTTTTCTGTTTGGTCAAAAAATTAACCTACATAATTTTTATGTTTTTGGTTTAACTCACATGTTATTATATTCACATACATAATATTTGCAATACTCATTTTTGCTTTGCTTTTTGTATGTCTGGTGTTGGGGAATGATTATTTTTAATGGTTATAAAATGTTCAAATTGGTAGAGATCTTTCAGTAAATTCTTCCCCTACTGTACATTAGGTTGCTTTTATTTATTTGATATTATAATTTTATAATTCTTATCTTTCTCTAGGTAATATCTTTTTTAATCAAAACTTGAAACAATATCCTTAAAAAAAATAAGTGGAAATACTAAGTTAAAGTATAAGAACTCTATGCTGAGTCTTGAAATTTGCATAGTTTGCATAGTTGATAGTATTTTAGTATTGTCACATTATCAACTTTAAAATTTTGTTCAAATTGTTTTACATTTGTGATTTTACATAGGATTAATCCTAATGTTTATCATATATAAATTTCATATATATAATGTTTAATATAAATAATGGTTTCAAATTAATTCATATTCTGGATAAATTGAATTTTACCAGCTGGAGGTGCAGATGAGGATTTCTGCATGGGGGTAATAACTTCAAGAAGAGGTAGAAAGAAGGTATGTTTTTGGAAATAAGAGAATTTGGTTGAAGTGTAATACACAGACAATGAAAGAGCAAGAGATTAAAACAAACAAAAAAAAGAGCTGGGATAACACATGGAGGACCCTTCAGTGTTTAGGTGGTATGTTGTACCTCCTCAGCTGGTGGCAAGAAGACACTGGCATCTCTGAGCAGCACAGTTAACTAAGCAATGTCAGAGATAGGTCTTCAGGAGGTAGGCAACCCTGCAGAGGGTGCTGTAGAGTAGACACAAACACAGTCAAAATGTCCCAAAGATGCTTTTGTAACCAAGATGTCAACTTGTATTATCTGTTAATTATATCCATTATATACATAAAAAATGTAGAACTTACTTGCTTTTGTCTAAATCTTGAAGTCTCTTGCTGAACTTAGAAGCAATTTCTGTAAAATTCTATACTGCAGAAAACAGTGCATCTGAAATAGAAGTTGGAAACATCAAAAGTTTTAAGAATGTAATCTCTAAAGATATTGTTACATAGGTAAAAAAATGAGAATACAGAAGATCATCCTCTTTTTTGTCTTACAAGGTATATGAGCAGTCATGACACGAAAAGTACATGTGCACAAGTAAACAGAATACTTCATCATGTAGAATAAAAATTTAAAAAATAAATGTCCTAAGGAAGGTCATTGCATTTCAGAAATTACTGGAAACATACAAATAATGACATTGGAAAGAGGACGAGCAACATACCAAATGATACACTGTATGTTTTCATTTCCTGTGGATGTTTTATTGAAATATTATAGATTTTGTCAGCATACATTTTAAAACTACAGCATAATCTCGACAGTCAAAAGGAAGCACTATGGAATTGGCCAATTCAAACACCATCCCTCCT